TGATTGCAGGCATTTGAGGAAATAATTTTATTATGAAACTAGCATGGGTCATTGGCAAAGCTACCATAAGATAGTAACTCCATTAAGACATTAAGGACAGTACTCTTACATAGAAGCCTTAGTTTGTGCATTCTTTCTATCTATACTTTATCTATTGTGGGCCAAAAGTGCTTATATTCCTGCTTGAAATGATGAATTCTTGTCTTCCTTCCTGTATAGTGTCCTAGAGTTGTGCAAGGAAACTCTCTTTTTACTGACTCACTTTAGGTCAGTCGTAAGATGTCCAGGTCATGATTCATCCCAAAAGGAAAACACAGCTATCAGCTGTGGCCGTGAGTGTGTTTGGTTCCTTACTTCTTGGGTCAAGACGACCTGTAACCATTAATTCTGTTGTATAAAAGAAAGCTGTAGCTCATAAAAGTTTACTTCTGAGACTGCTCATTGTGGGTGTAAAACAGACTGGAGTTGAGTCAATATGCTTAACTGTGCATGTAACTAACTGTTGTTAGGAAAGACAGTTGAAAGTTTAAATATTATGGGTGTGTTTTGAAACAGCAGTGCCAAACAAAGTAATGCTGTTTCAAAATCTTTCTTTGTAGTAGAACTATTTGAGAGACTGCTGAGAATGAAAACTGCAGTTCAGCCTTCTATGTACAAGCATTTGCTTCCATGGCCTCTTCTGTTGTGTTCAAAAAGGAGTTTCCTGTGCGGAGAGTCAGCAACCTTACTTTTTTTTACAGTCATCTAGATAAAATTGTAGCTTAATATTTTCAAAGTAGTTGAAGTTTTTAGGGACCTGTTTTCTGTTAAAGAAACAGATGTTAATTGGATGTTAATTGCCTAAGACCTCTTCCAGGTTGTTACTGTAATTTAATTTTTAAGTATGATTTACTAAGCTGAGGTTGAGAGAATTTGGGAAAGTATTTTTTAATTGATTTGTTTTCTTCTTTTTACTACTTTATCACAACACTTTGTTTTGTGAGTGGATAATAAGATTATTACAGTTACTGGTTTTGATATCATAAAATGAGTCAACAGAAGCTTTTGAAACATTATATGGTTGTAATATGTCAAGGGAGAGTTTGAATGTTAATACTTTCACTTTACCTGGAATAACACTTTACCAGGTTCTTGCAAGGCCAGGTTGTCAGATGTTAATAGGTTAATGTTTAAATTATGGATCTGCTCTGCAAAGTGACAGTGCAAGACAATATCTGGTTTAGTCAGCTGTTCTACTTCATGTGCATTCAGATATTTGCTTTGTTTGGTGACAAAGTGTTTACTTTGTCAGGTACAGTATGCATTTTGTTCAACACTGGACATTAGCATTTTATGGTGTCCATCTGTACCTTGAAAAAAACTTGAGAGGCAATCAAGTTGAGCAGGTGTACGGAAAGTCCTAGATTGCTTCAGAGAGTTGCGGTTTTTTTTCTGTGTGTCTTAACAGTGAACAAAAAAAGGCAACTCTTGTTAATGGTGATTATTTTAAAGTGCTGTGAAGATAAGGGTATTTGGCATGGAATTGAAGGTATACACAAGAAGTGCTGGTGTGCTGCTAAAAGCCACTGAGTGTTCTCAACATGAAAAACTACTGCTTTTGTATTTCAAAGCAAAAAAAAAAAATATTTATGTAAACAAGTTAGCTTGAGGTAAAATGGCAATTTGGGCAAAGTCCTTCAACAACACAAGCTTTGAATTTGTTCTAATTAATTCCAAATCTTCAAGTTGCCATGCTTTGAGGAGAATGTTACCTTGAATCAGCTCACTCTGGTTAAGATGCTTTTTACTTTTCTCCCTAGGAAAACCAGGTCTCTGACTAGACATTACTCCAGTGTTTTACTCTGATTCCCACTGTGTTTCTCTCCACGTATTTTTGTAATAATCATGTAAAAAATTGACATGATTTTACATTATTTTTACTGTATTCAGTTACTAGAGGAGTACAGTGAACTAGTTTCCATGAACACACTAGGTTTCAAGTATGTTGAAACATTATTTTCACAACTTTGAATTCTTTTCTATGCCCAGATATGACTGAATGACCTTTGTGGTACCACAAGGTGTAGTATTATTGCAATGAAGTAAAACTTGCATTTAGAACAATAAAGCAAATGAGCTGACATTGTTGGTTGAATTGTTACATGATAATTAAAAGGATGAGTCACTGCATTAGGAGAATTGGATAGAAATGCTCATCATTTCCAGCCAGTGATGCTGAACTCCTTCGGCTTTTGGTTTCCCCAGTGGATGAAGTATTTTAACTGTAATTTACAGATACTGTTACTTAGTTATGTTGTGCAAACTGAAGACCTAAACAACACCAAAATTATTTTTTTTTTAGAACTACCTGAATTTCCATCATCATAATCTGTCATGGTTTAAACCCAGCCAGCAATTATCATGCAACTGCTTCCTCACTTTCTTCCTGCCTAGTTAAATGGGGAAGAGAATCAGAAAAAAACCAAAAGAGTAAAACTCAGGGATTGATATAAGAACAGTTAATATTTAAAATAACAGTAGTAAAAATAACAATAATCATACTAATGAACAAGAGAGAGAGAGAGAGGAGTAAAACACAAGAGAAACAAATGGTACAGTGCCTCAGCACCCACTCTCCAATGCCCATCCTGTTCCCTTCACTGGCAAATCCTTCAGCCACACTGTCAAAGTTGGTGAGAGCAGGGGTTGGGAGAATGAAGAACCATCCCCTCTAGAAGATCAGGTTCAAGACCCATGGGATCTGATTAGATACATCCATGGGCCCTGAGGGAACTGGGCAAGAAAGTAGCTAAGCCACTAGCCATCATATTTCAAAAGTTGTAGCAGTTCTCCGTGGAAGTTCCCACAGACTAGAAAAGGCGAAACAGAACATCCATATATTTTTGGGAAGGGAAATTGGGAAGACTCAGGGAGCTACAGGCTGGTCAGTCTTACCTCAGTGCCTGTCAGGATTGTGGAATGGAACCTCCTGGAAATTATGCTAAGGAACTGGAAGGTAAGGAGAAGATTGGTGACAGTCAACACAGTTTCACTAAGGACGAATGTGATCGTTGCCTGTGATGGTGTTGCAGTGGTGACAGATGAGGGAAAAGTGCACATATGTAGAGTGTTTGACACTGTGCCACATTACTTGTCTCTAAACTGGAGACCCATGTTTTTGACAAATGGGCTGCTGAGTGAATAATGAATTTAAAGGGTTGTGGTGAATGGCTCATTGTCCATAAGGAGACCAGTGATGAGTGGTGTCCTTAGGGATTGGTACAGAGGCAAGCACTGTTTAACATCTTTGTCAGTAACATAGACATTGGGATTGAGTGCACCCCAACAATGTGTGCCAATCAGTGTGGGATGAATGAGGTGATGGAGGAATGGGAAGCCAATCCTTGCCAGGCTTGAGAGATGGGCTCATGTGAACCTCATAAAGTTCAACAAGGCCAATTGCAAGGTCCTATACTTGGTTTGAGGCAATCCCAAATACAAATACAGGCAGGCTGGATTGGGGGCAGCCCTGAGGAGAAGGACCTGGGGGTGCTGGTGGATAAGAGGCTGGACATGACCCAGCAATGTGTTCTCAGAGCCCAGAAAGTTGACTGTATCCTAGGCTGCATCCAAAGAAGCATGGCCAGCAGGGAGAGCCAGGAGGATTCTGCCCCTCTGTTGTGTTCTGCTGAGACTCCACCTGGAGTGCTGCATCCAGCTCTGAGGACCCTGGCAGAGGAAGACATAGACCTGTTGGAGTGAGCTGGGAGGAGTCCACCAAGATGATCAGAGGGCTGGAGCCCATGTCCTGTCAACACAGGCTGAGACACTTTTGTTCATCATGGAGAAGAGAAGCTCCAGGGAGATGTTAGAACTGCCTTTCAGTCACCAAAAGGGACTTACATGAAAGATTGTGAGGGACTTTTTACAAGGGCATGGAGTGATGATATGAGGGTAATAACTTTAGCCTCTTTAATATTAAGAAGAAATTCTTTACTGTGAAGACAACTGGTACAGGTTGCCCAGGGAGATGTGGATTCCCCATTGCAGGAAGTGTTCAAAGCCAGACTGGACTTTGAGTAACTTGGTCTAGGGAAAGGTGTCGTGCCCTTGGCAGAGGAGTTGAAACTAGATGATATTTATGTTCATTTTCAACAATGTTTTTAGGATTCTGTCTTCCATATGTGTAGAGGATTTTCTTCGTCTGCCTCAGGAAAAAAAATAAAATAAAGTGCATGAAGTTAATCTATTATTTAAGGTGTTTTTGACAGTTAACACTTAGTAAGCAGTCTCTTGTAAAAGGTCTTGTATGGCAATGATTTCTCAATGAATGAAAAATGTGTTTATTCACTGTGACCTGGGCTGTAACTTCATTTTATGTAGCTGTGTCATGCATTAAATGAGAAAGCAGAGCCACCTAAAGTATAACTTTTGTCTGTGTGGCAAGGAATGTTAGTTTTGACACGTGGAAGGGAGGCAGCAAAAATACATCTAAGGAGAGAGTATACTCAGTTCAAGCAAAAGTCTAGACAGATTTATCCTCTTTATGGCATTGCGTCTTCAGTTCTTCAGCAATGGATGGCTTCAGTGGTATGCACATTTGTATATGTGTACTTGCTGGTATATAATTATAGGCATATTTTACCATGTATATACATATGGGTGTGTTTAAGTACTGTATATACTAGTATTTATTTACATCATGGATGCATGCTTGATTGAAGTCACAGTAGTCTTCAAGAGAAATCAGATTTTTGTTGTCACGACTTGTGGAACTAATGATCTAGATATTAAATTCTTCAGATTTCCTTTTCTGAACAGCAAAGAAATATTTTCCATCTTCCTGTAGACAGAAAGAAGTTCAGGAAACAAAAGTATTTCTAGTTTGTGAAATACAGAATATGCAGTACAAGTGAGGTAATATAGCGAATGTAAAAAACAGCTTGTTCTTAAATTATTTTTAAAAATTGCAGTTCAGTATTTAATTATATAAATGTATAATATTAATTTTTTTTGTTTAGTTCAAGGAAGAAATCTCTAAACGTTTCAAGTCCCACACTGATCAGCTTGTGTTGATATTTGCTGGAAAAATTTTAAAAGATCAAGATACTTTGACTCAGCATGGAATTCATGATGGACTCACTGTTCACCTGGTTATCAAAACACAGAACAGGTAATCTTATTAACAAGTGGTCTTCTGTTTACCTCTAGAGAAGTTTAAGTGCTCTGTATTATTAATAGCTTTCTGTTGGGCAAAACTAGATTTGACTAAATCACCTTAATCAGCTCCTTAGTTTCAGCTGCTGCAGGACAACAGTGAGGTTATGAAATTACACTGTTTTTTAAAATTTATCTCATATTTTATTTTGATTTATGTTTTTAAATACATTTCTTTTTCTTTAGGTTGGTTTTTTTTGAGTTTTTTTTGGTTTTTGTTATATAGCTTTTTTTTTTGTTAAGCTGTGTGAAGTGAAGTGCCCAAAAATCTTTCCAACAAGTAGAGCAATAGATCCCTCAAAAGCAGTTTGCTATTAGTCAATAACATGTTCATTCTTTTAGAGTGAAAGTGGTTTTGCTTCTGTTCTACTTAGGTCTTTTCTGTTTATGGTGAGGATCCCCTCTGATGTGAAAATGTCTTATGTTGAAGGAAAGAGCATGAAGTGTAGGAGGGAACAGAAGTAGACTTTCCCTTTCAAGGCCTTACCAAGACACCAAGGCTGGCTACTAACATTAGCATTAAATACAAATTCTTGTTGAAATTAGTATCATTAACATTCAATGTAGGTACTTTTTCAAATTGATACCTTTAGTTCTATATTCATGCCCTGGAAGGATTATGTTCTCTGTCCTGGAGTCAAAATACATGTTTGTACTGTCAGAAGTGTCCCTTTCCTGCCCTTTGCCTCCTCCACCTGAAATTTAGGCTGATACGAGCCATGCCAGTCTTGAATATGGTATTAGGCAATACTGCAGTTCTGTTCTTTTTGCATCTGAGTGAGTATTCTGCTGTTGCTATTTTTTTTTTGTTGCTTTTTTTGCCTAAAGTCCTAAGTATGACAGAGAGGCACCATGAGTACTACTAGAAGGATGCTTTGACTTGCACAATCTTCAGAGGGTTTATAGTTTGGACCTACTGTAGCTATATATACTGAAATACACCCCTGCCTGCCTCTTGGTCCTTCTTGCACTTTGCCTCTGAGCAGAGGAACCCTCAGGAATGCAAATGTCAAACATGTGGTTTTTGGGGAATTTTCAGTGTTCCTGCATATGTCTTATCAGCATTGCACTCCATGTCTTCATTCATGCCTGCTTTTGTTTGAATCATTTTAGAAGGCCGTATTTCTGCTGTCTGCAGAATGTTTTAATCATTGGGAAAATGAAGTATGAACTAAGAACTACAGATCCTTTGCATGTACATGTGCTGTGTTCAAATGATGCATTGAAGTTTTCACCTACTAGCTTTACTTGAATAAACTAAAAACATGGTAAAACCTGCTGGAGAAAATGTAAATCAGCATTGTCCTGAAATATCTCAGTTGTATTCTTGCTAAAATATCTATATTTTATGCTTGTCTTGAAAGACAAGATTTAGACCCTGCCGGTGTGGCCTGGAACATGCTGATTTTTGGCCCTGAGTATCAAGATTGATTTGTTCCCAGGTACTTTGGTACGCTCTGCCATTTACTTTTCTGTTGACTCTTGCTGTTACTGTTGCTGCTGTGTATCTGAAAAAGTCAGTTATTTTCCAAAACTGGATCTGAAAGTGATCTTTTCCCTTGTAAACTATGTTATTAGATTTGTAATTTCAAAATGGGAATCTTCATATATCCCAGCCACATGCTTGTTAAAAAAAAGATTACTTTTTCTACTGTGCTACATTTTCTAGACTGCTACAGACTTTCAGTGCACTCTTGTTACCTATCTTCTACAGTGTTAGAGTAGTAGTGAGTGATTAGCAATAGGCAGTGAAGATAAATAGAATTTCTGAGTAGAGTTCTAGGTCAACAGGTGTCATTTGTTCATGTGTGCTTGGAGGAAACATAATGGCAAAATGAGTGTAAAAGGCGATGTGCACTTGACAGGAATATAGCTGAAAGATTGAAGGCTCAAAGGCTTGAAACTCACATGAACCTTAATCTTCAAAGAATATGCTCCAGTTTGCATGGGAGCACTATTGTACTTAGCTTTCAGTGTCACCTACTTTTCTGTCACACTTTTGAGAACCTTTAATGTCTATTACATAAAGCAGCATAGTTGCTTCTCAAAATAGTTTCTCAGCTGAAAATACAAGTAGGATTTGATGCTTCTTGTTTTTACTTTGCTTTTGGAGGAAAGATGTGTATATTTTCTAGATAAAAGAAAACTCAATATCTCTAGCAGGAGAATCACAATCAGTATACAGTCTATAATCTTTCTCATTCAAGTTACAGCTGCTTGGCCAGTTATAGTCATCTTGTGTTCAAAGTTTGCAGTTGCTGATAATTAAGTTAAAGAACTCTTAGAAACCTCAGGAGAATCTATGCTTTTAAAGCATCTTTCTGGGTTTTTTTGTATGGTTGGGGTTTTTTTTCTGATGTTTGCTTGAGTGGAGCAAGTGCAGAGTTATGTTGTAGGAGAAAGGTCCTCCAAGGTGAACTGAAGTATGGAGTCTAGTGTACTGCCAAATTCTCAAATCTTTTTGTGATGTCTGAATTCGTAGTTTTCAAAAGTATTTTATTCTGTAGTACTGCAGATATAGGCATTTATTGATTGTTGAACCACAGTGGAGAATTGATTTGGATTTCAAAGCAGTCTCTTTTCTTTAGAACAGAGAGGTCAGGTTAACTTTATTCGAGCTCAATTCCTTGATCTCTTTTACTGCATGGCAGCATTTGTCTTTCTGCCTGCAGTAGAAGAGTGTGATGAGTACACAGCCTGGGCAGTATTTAATGTCTGTGCTAAATTATGCTGGCTTTAGTGTCATGTGATTCTATTATCAGCCTTTTTTTGAAGCCTTAAAGGTTTGAGAGTTTGAGATTTGTCTTATAATAAAATGTGACATTAACTGAATTTCACATTCAGTAAAGCATCCTTTTGGAGATGTGGCATGAAATAAATTCTGCATTAAATTTGTCAGGCTTTATTTTGTGAAGGTGTGGGCATGTTATCAGTAGTATGTGAGTATAGTGAAATAAGACATGGATCCTTAAAACAAGGTAAGGACAGAGAAAACAATTAATTGGCAAGCGTCATGGGGTAGGATGAGAAGGTTGTAATAGCTACAGTGATACCTATCTGTTTTTTTCACTATATAAAACTACTGTTCTGAAAAACTGATGACATAACAGATGTCTGAGAAAGATTTATTACAGGAAACCATGTGGGGATAAATGGAGTTATCCCTGGGTTATGACCAAGAATCTAAATGTAATTTAAGATTCTGAAGTAAAATACTTTAGCTACAAATGGCACTACTTAAAATAACTTGTTACACTCTATATAAAGTTTTGAAATTGCTCTTTTAGATCACAAGACCACCCAACTCAACAGGCAAACACCTCTGGGAGTACTGCTACCACATCAACATCAAGCAGTAGTACCTCAACGCCAGCATCAACAAATAGTAATCCCTTTGGCTTGGGTAAGAATATTTGTTAGGTGGAATGGTGGGTATCTTCTCTTGGATTCCACTAATTGTGCCCAAAGCTTTATCACAATGTAGACAAAACTTGAAAAACAAAACCCAAACAAACACATCAGCCTGAAAATTAATTACAGTTATATACTCAATTGGCTGTAGAAGGTTTCTGATCAGTCAGTTACCAAAGGAGAACTGTTTCATTAGTTTTACAGAGAATCATGAAGTAGTTTGGGTTGGAAGGGATACCTGTTAAGGTGATCTATTCTAAACTTTGTGCAATTAGCTGGGACATCTTTAACCAGATTAAGTTCCTCAGAGCCCCATCCAACCTGACCTTGAATGTTTCCAGAGGTGGGGCATCCATCACCCCCCCTGATAAAATGTTCCAGTATTTCACCACAAACTTCACTACAAGATTTGTACTGTTTCACCTTCAGTGGTAAGGTGCTACTGATATTTTATTTTGGCACTATGGGTAATGAAATACCTTCCAATGTCTTTGTACTACTTAAAGTGCATCTGAATTCCTGTTATCTGAATACAGATGAATCATAGAAGTTTGGACCTGTGACATGAAGCCAAGATCTGCAATAAAAGCAACAAAATTGCTGTTAATCTTACAATTAACTATTTCTCAGGTTTCAAGTATTAAGAGTCTTCACTTCTATGAATGAAGAGGCTGCAGTCTGTTGATTTAGAAATTATAATCTGTTTTCATAGTTGTGGTGGGGTTTTGTTTCATTCTTTTTTGTCTTTTTTTTTGCATTTGGGAGTGGGGAAGAAGTAGAATTGGAAAAGCCAGTTATAGTAAGCAGATGATTTCTTGGGTTTTAATTGTTCTTTGGTCTGTTTAGTACTTTCTGAAACTTTTTATCTGGATTCAGCAAAGCACAAAAATTCAAAACATAATTTCCTCTTGGTATGTTATTACCAGGAGGAACACAGGTTTTACATTTAAGTGGAATTGGAAATATTACTCATATCACTCTTAGTTACAGTTTAACCAAGAGGAGACAGATAAATGATTACTACAAATGCAGTTGTTAAATGTTGCTGGAGGCACATGGACCTAAAGCCCCCAGTCTCAAACATTTCTTGTATCTTGGCTTTGGAAAATGAGAAGAAAAGCTGTTAGAATTATAACAAATTTTATTTAAAAATATAGTGAGTAACTCCTGAACAGCCTTGAAAAAGATGGGACTTTCCATTCATTTTTGCTACTTTGAAGTATGAGATATGTTCAAGTATTTTGTATTTAGAAAAAATCTGGATGTGATTGGAAGTATAGTCAGTCACATTTTTTCATTCTCTTGAAGGTGGCCTTGGAGGTTTAGCAGGCCTGAGTAGCCTGGGCTTAAATAGTTCAAACTTCTCGGAGCTGCAAAGTCAGATGCAACGACAACTTATGTCCAACCCGGAAATGATGGTTCAGATAATGGAGAATCCATTTGTTCAGAGCATGCTTTCAAATCCTGACCTGATGAGGCAGTTAATTATGGCTAACCCTCAAATGCAGCAACTGATACAGAGAAATCCAGAAATCAGTCACATGCTGAATAATCCAGATATAATGAGACAGGTATGTAAAAAGATCTATTAGTTCATGACTTGTGATTCTGCTGTTATGTAAACAACAGAGCCAGAATTGGACATACTTAGTGGAGGGTGTGAACATTCTTTAAGTATTTAGTCTTACTCGAAATCCATAAATGGTTGCCATAGACAACCAGTATCTACATATCTTGTTGTTAATGTCCAAAATAGACTGATATTTCAGAAAATCTGCAGCATAGTTTTTGAAAGTCACTGAATACATGTCTTCTGAGGCTAGAACTGGATGTGGCTGTCTGCCCTTGAAACCTGTTGTCTAGCCAGGAATTTTGCCATAAGTTGTAATTCTCCAAAATTCTGCATACTTTCATTGTGTCACCGTGGGTACTTCTAAATGCTTTTTAAATTAGAAGATAGATAAGTTGTATCTTATGGCAAAATGTACCAAAACCCAAAGAGATTAATAGATGCTTTTGAAATTCTATGTATTTATTTTAAATTTCATATTATAGGCTGCCTGCTGTAGTGATGTTAGAAACAGTAAGAATTATGGTAGAATGCTGGCTAAATACTGAATTGTGTTGATTGACACTGTGCCGACAGGTTGATTCAGCTCTAATCATAATTTTAAACTGGGTTAGACAGGGATGACTGAGATATTACCAAATGCTGACATTTTCACTTTAGAATGGATTTCTTATTAATACAGATTAAACGTTCCACTTCTCTAGACACTAGAACTTGCTAGAAACCCTGCAATGATGCAGGAATTGATGCGAAACCAGGACCGAGCTTTGAGCAACCTTGAAAGTATACCAGGGGGATACAATGCCTTGCGGCGTATGTACACAGACATCCAGGAGCCATTACTGAATGCAGCACAGGAACAGGTGAGAAAAGATTAAAAATGACACAGAAAGGACATACTTAATATTTAATAAAAGAATTTAAGTAATTAAAATGTCCAGATGTTTATTTGACAAAACAATTTTTGAAACTTGAAGTTGTTATGTAGCCTTTTACTCTTGAAAGACCTTTAAAAATCGTGTTCTTCTGAGCCTGAAGAAATACAGCTATCACTTTTTGTGATTGAGAAGCTATTTTAAAGTTAATAGATTTGTTTGTTACTTAATTTTTAATTCCTTTAATTCACTGCCTTAAGATTCGGAGGTTCGGTAAAATCCTTTTAAGGGTGTGTTTAGTAATTTTAAACTGAAGGTGAGAAGAATAAAAGATTTTAGTCAGAAACCAGTATGCAAGACACAATTTTACTCTGATCAAAATACAATGCAGTAGCAACACTATTTTTGAAAAGAAATGTGATTTAATTTTTTGAGGGAGTCCTAGTATCTCTCAGTGTTAGTGTATTTTCACAATATTTACCTTTAATTACTGTAGACTGGTGAGTATAACTGATTAGAAGCCATAAACATTTATTTTCATGTACGATTTATAAATTTGTAGAATGATAAGTGTTTGCTTTCCTTTGTAGTTTGGAGGTAACCCATTTGCTTCTTTAGTAAGCAATGCATCAGCAGGAGGGGACAATCAGCCATCTCGTACGGAAAATCGAGATCCTCTGCCAAATCCGTGGGCTCCTCAGTCCAGCTCACAGACTTCCACAACAAATTCTGGCACTACTGGTGAGAGCAGTGGCAGCAATAATGCCGAAAGTAGCACTTCAGGCACAACGGGACAGAGCTCAACTGGACCAAATTTGGGACCTGGGCTTGGAGGTGTGTTTGTTACTGCAACTGTATATGTTTGCACATACATGCAAACTGAAATTATTCTTTCATTAGACAGAGAGTTTTTGATTCAGTTTTTATTGCTGTTTACTTTTGTAGACCATTTTACTATTGTTAAAGTCCTCTGAAGAAAAATAAAAAAAATAGGAAAAATAATCTAAGTGATAATAATACTTAAAATAACAAAGGTAGCGATTCTGCAGATGAATTGTAGTATTTTTTCTGTTCTAAGGCAAATGGAAAAACAGGTAATAATGTGAATAGTTGATGGGAATGTGTGTTCGGTACAACGTCTGTCTTAACTTTTAGGGTAGATGTGTCTATGTAAGTAGAACAGCACTGAGGTAAGTTTCAGGGTCTTAAACTCATGAAAACCAAGTGGTTATATTCTGGGTTTAGATAGTCTCCTTTCTCTGATGATAATCAGAATGCTTACTAACATGCCCTTTACCTTTTCTTTAAGCTGGTATGTTCAATACACCAGGAATGCAGAGCTTATTACAGCAGATAACAGAAAACCCACAACTTATGCAGAATATGTTGTCTGCACCCTACATGAGAAGCATGATGCAATCGTTAAGCCAGAATCCCGATCTTGCAGTACAGGTAAATTGCATTTAGTATAGTAATATATTGTGTGTGTTAAAGTAAAAACAGACAAAAGCCAAAAGCTCAAAAATTGCCTGTGGCAAATGGGCTAATTTTTCGTGTTAATTCCTAAGTAATTACTGAAATTATTAGCTGCTTACTTTCAACAATTTGTTGCCTTGAGTTTCTTCAATTTGTAGTTGGATATCATGCCTGATATGCTTCAGAAATCATCATGGGGTTGTGTAAACTTGTGATCCAGCATTAGAAACAGACAAAAAAAGTGCTTTCGTTATGAATTAAGGTAGAGCTAATGGTAAATAAATACCCTCTCTAGTCTGGGGGAAGTGAAGGGAGGGGACTTGGTGCCCTATCTAAATATTACTCGGTTTTTAACTTCTTATTTTTGACCTGTGACTCACTGTAAAAGTAGAGATGCTGTTTTATGTATGGTAGTGTAGAAGTGCTTTGAATTTTTATTTAAAGTGGTAATATTGAAGCTCAGATTCTGAACTGACATTGAAAAATATTACCTCTTCTGTGTTAAATATTCACTTGGAAATATCCTTGACTTCAGGTGATATTTACAGCAACGCTATTGCTTAGATTTTTGGTGGAGGCTGAACAGAAAAGTATTTTCTTGTAATACTTTGCAAGACTGCCTTATTTGTATCTGGAAATCCATTCACTTAAAAGAAAAAAGGAACCAATGAAGCAAAAGTGAAACAAAAAGAAAAAAAATCCAAAAAAAGCCCCCACAAAAAACCCCACCAAAAAAACAAACAAAAAATACATACACCCCCAGAAAGTTTTGGCCAAAGGAGTAGATAGATGATTATTATTCTGTGAGGTAATTTTCATAGACTATTACTGTATTATCCGTAGTTGCTTTAAAACCTCCAGTGGTTTTTACTGCTTGATTTTTGAAGTTAAATATTTTTGTCCTATAGATGATGTTGAATAATCCTTTATTTGTTGGAAATCCTCAACTTCAGGAACAAATGAGACAACAACTTCCAACTTTCCTTCAGCAAGTAAGATGAGATACTAGCTCTTAATAAAGGTCTTCAAGTCAATGAGCAATATATTTGGTAAACTGGTGCCTGTCTTTGATTTGGCTAATAGTTAGATTCTGTAATATATTCTCATTAGCTTTAGATACTAAGTTAGATTGTCCCTTAATAATATTCTTGCTAATGTCTCCATCTCTTTCAAAAGTTAAACCTGTTGTCTGTGACTAGCATAACCACTAAGATTTGTTCTTGCTTCTTTGCTTAGAAGGAATAAATGCTCTTACTGCACACCAGCCAGAAAACACCTGTTTGTGACAAAATTTGTTTCAGAAATTAATAGTACCTTTCACAATGCTAGTTAAAGTTTCAGTATGCTTTTCTCATGCTTCTCAAACCTGCATTAAATATTTGGAAAAGAGGTCCTCGAGCATATCTTGAAAGACCTAAGTCATCTGCTAATTTAAAAGAAGTGGGTTCTGAAGTCTTTCCTGGAAAGATTGCTGTACCATTATCTTCTGCCCATACCAACATTGTGTTTGCAGCCCAGGTATCTGCTTAGTATTAGTTGCCACAGTGTGTAGTAGTACTTGTTTCCTAAATAGAAGCAAGCAAGATTTTTGTAGGAATTAAAAAGCTAATCTACTGCATGAACTCTGTCATTAGGCTGTCGTTGCAAATCATTGTAAATATGTGTTTCCAAGATCTGGCTGCATGCAGGAGGTTTTATGAGTAAAATAATGAGAACGTACATGAATTACAGTAGCATGTTCAGTGTTCAGAAGATAGTTTATATTGTTTGAACCACATAAATGGCTGTGGTGTTTTGTATTGCCACTGCTTTGTAATGACTCAGTAGTAGCTGAGGAGCCAGTACATTTATGTTTTGAAATCTGTGAATAATTGGTAATTAATGAATGCACAGTAGGAATCATATCTTGTTTCCTTTGTGTATCGCTTTCTGTTATTACCACCTTGGAATTTATCTGCACAAATAGTTCTCTGTTGTATTCACTCTCTGAAGTTAGATGATTAACAGATTAGCAGGTGAGGTGTGGAGAAATAGCTGGATATTCTCAGAATGTTGGTAATATTTCAACTTGTGTTTTCTTGCTTATCTACCTGTGTTTATATTATGGGATTGGGAGACAGAAACCATGGAATCTGCATATTGGAAGACATCTTTTGCAATTAAGGGCAATTGCCCAGCAGAATTAGGGAAGAATGGCTGCTACTGGAATTAATAACATTAATAGAGATGAGATCCAGGTCACCTAAGTGCTCTAAGAATAGTTGGGCTAGCATTTATGTAAGACAGCTTCAAATATCAGACTGTAAGTCAAAATTTAAATATTTTCATAAAGTAGTTGCAGCAGCTGTATTTGGAGACCCCAAAATGTTAATCTCTTTAAATCTGAGTTATCTTTTCCATATACTATTCGTTGATTTGTTGACTTTTAGCTATCATGAAGATAAAAGTCCAAGAGATTAATGGAAAATATTAATTGCTCTTCTGAAGTCTCTTTAGGCACTCAGATCAGAGTTCTTCATGTCCTGTGCTGCAGTTCTGCTCTGCAGTAGGGGAAGTTTCACCTTAATCTCTGATTTTCACATTAATCAAATGTGGTTTTTCAGCAAAAGTAACCTGGTCTAGTTGCCAGGGGAAAGCTGCCCAGATTATTAGTAAGCCTATCTGCTCTTTGGTCTGATTATCAAAACCTGTTATTTGTAACTGAAACATTGCTTTTCATGTACCTGTTGCATCTCTATGCAAAGGTGAGCATAAGCCACTAGTTTTGTGTCTAAAATAATTAGGTTTTTGGATGTTTCATTTCAGAAATGAAAAGGATTTGCATTCTAAATTATTTGATGATGTAAAAGCGTATTTGTAATAGAAGTCACAGTCGACAGAGAACCCTTGAATATTATATATTTGCTTGTTGGTATATTTTCCAGTATGTTTGTTTACATTTCAGGCTGTAAGAGCAATACAGATAAGATATGTACAAATAGTCACAACCAAATTGCTGTGATCTGAAATCAGCTAGGAAAAAGGAACTTAGTATTTTTTCTTAGGTATTTTTTGGTCAAATTTCATCATGTTCAGCATTGTTGCTTACTAGTAGTATGATATAGGAGACTAATTCTAAAATAATGTACTAACAAGTACAAAGTCTTGAAGCCTTTGAAAGATTGAAATCTGTAATGAAAAATACTTCTTATGTATAATTCTTGTTCAAGAGACTTTTTCTACATCTAGAGAGTTCATTCATCACCTTCTATGGAAGTTTTCTCACAGAAGAAAAATAACTGAAGGATTTCCTGTAATATTCAACTACAAAATCAAAAGCCAAGTTCCAAAATTATGTCAGATTCTATGAGACATCTAGCAGTAAAAATTACCTTGAAACATCTACATATACTGAAGAGTTTCTCTCCTTCTCTTAGATGCAGAATCCTGACACCTTATCAGCTATGTCAAACCCCAGAGCAATGCAGGCTCTGCTACAGATTCAGCAGGGCTTGCAGACATTAGCAACAGAAGCACCGGGGCTTATACCAGGGTAAGAATTGATCTTACAAATTTGGACAGGAAGTCTTCCCTTGTTTTGGTTACTCTTTTTAGATTTAGAGATTTATACAGTCTTTATTAAAGATTCATCCTCTTGCCTTTTTTTAGTTTAACCAAATTTTTTTTAGAATCTGTCACATTTGTCTGCTGTGCAATTCTAAACAGTGATAACTCTGGGCTTTTTCTCAGTACATTACTCAAATTGTTATCCTCTCTTTCACAGAATTTGTACTGACTAATTAATGAGAAGAGACAAACTAGTGTTTATTATTCAAGTGGTATATTTCTTTTTCTGTAATTTATACAGGTTTAATCCTGGTTTGGGTGGAGGGGGAAGCAGTGGAACTTCTACAGCATCCACTGTACCTAGTTCTGTTTCCACTGAAAATACAAGTCCAGCTTCAGGAACTGCTGAACCTGGTCACCAACAGTTTGTCCACCAGATGTTGCAGGCACTTGCTGGTGCAAATGCTCAGGTAATGTACATCATTATATTTAAATATTTTTGCTTTTATTCTTAATTGTAAAACACTGGAAAGAAGACAGGTAGTTGAGGAGAGAGCCCACTGGATGCTTCTGGTCAACAGAGGTCAGTAGCAGAGGCTTAAAAGTGCTATTTCAGCTGTGCAAGTAAATACTGAAAAAAATACATCCTCTGTCCTGATGAAAAACATGCCTCTGAAGGTCATATCATTAAGACAATGCAGGATTTTGCCATGAGTTTGTGTAATCAGGATCTTCCTATAAAGCAAAGCTAAGACTTTGCCTTAGACTCAAGCTTTCTAACAATCAGGATTTTGGTAATTTTAGTCAACAGATACTTGAGAGTGTTACAAAAGTGGTGATCTTTATGTTGAAGAAAGATAAAGCCTGTGATGTTCAAGATTGCTGACAACATAATCTTTGCTGCTCCACATTGCTAGGTTGAACTCTGTTTTGTTTTAGAAAACCAGCTATATGCATATCTTTAAGGAACGGTTCCTGGACATAATGTACCCAATTTAATGTGACTCCTCCACTATTAGTCAGTTTTTCCTGGAGTTCAGGAATGGTATGTAAGTGTAGATAATTTGATGTTGCTGACTTGTTAAAAAAAATTTCTTTAGTTGCTAATTGAATTTATCTTAATATATTTTTTGGAATTTGAAAAAGGTGTAGTCAAAAATTAGAGAAGACAGAGTGGTGCCAAACCCACCTGTGTTTAAATTGTGTATTTTGCTAAATATGTATTATGCTTTTATAGCTTGAAATTTTGTTCTTAGCAGTTACAAAATCCAGAAGTTCGATTTCAGCAACAACTGGAACAGCTGAGCGCAATGGGCTTTCTGAACCGTGAAGCAAATTTACAAGCACTAATAGCAACAGGAGGAGACATCAATGCAGCTATTGAAAGGCTGCTTGGCTCTCAGCCTTCATAGCAGTGTTTCTTTTAACTTGAAAAATGTAATTTATTTTTGATAACAGCTCTTTAATCTTTCAGATTGCTTTATTTCATTCTGACTCTTGGGATTGTCTTGTTATAACTAAAACCAATCTGATGCATTTGAAGGTGGAGTGCAGTAGTTTTCTTCAGACATTGGGAATCAATGCATTTTCACTTTCGAGTGCATCAGTTCTTTTGTTCAGCATTATTTGTGATTTTTTGGAAACAGTATCAGCTTTCACAGTTGGATGAACAAGTTTTGTCTGACCTACAAATGGCCAATTTATTTACTACTTAAACAGTATCCTTCAATAGTAATTTATGTAGATTACACATTAAAAAGGAAATGAATTGAAGCTGTGGGTACCAATACTGCTTATTGTGATTTTAGCATGTTTTATTCTCTTGACTAGCAAAATGCTGGAAGATTTATACCACTTGAGTAATCTACCATCTTTTACTTTAATTTGTCTAAGGTATAAACACAATATATACAACAGAGATGGCTCATTTCTAGAGATGTACACAATATAATAGAGTGAAATCGTAAGCAATGAAAAAACAAACACAAAAAACCCCAAAGCAACAAGAAAAAAACCCAAAAAAACCCAAAAAACAAACAAGCAAAAAAAAAAAAAAAAACAAAAAACAAACCCAAAAAACCCCACAAAAAAGTCCAAAAAAACCGACAAGAAAAACCATCATAGGACTTGAATTTGGTGTAGAGCTGCCCAAGATCTTTGGTAACTATCTCAGAAAAAATGCTTAAGCAACTTCAGTTAAAATATGCTAGAATTACTGTTATGGTTGTCTCTTTACATTTAACTGTACAGAAACTTGCATTATAACATTATTTCAATAGTCACAGATTTAACTGTAAATTACTTTTGTCATTGTCCAAATTAAAGAGCCACAGCCTTGTGCTCTGGAATTGCTTCTATGGCTATTTGGCTTGTTCCACTGAGATTTTTACATGTATTCTGATTTGTAATTGGAGAAATTACTTCTATTCATGGTCATGTGATACTCTAATTACTTTTAACCACCAAGTAAAAAAATACTGTATAGCTTTTGAGTTTCTATTGGTAGTTACTTCTCTTGTGCACAGGTAATAAATGAATTAAAAAAATCTTTAAGCATCTTGTTTCAGTGTGTTTGCAGTTGTTCATTACCTAAAAATCAAGATGACAGTCCATCTTACCATTTCTGTGCTAAAACTGGTTAACAGCTCCTGTGGTGTGAGGTGGACAGAGGAGAATAAGAGATGGATGATGTTGAAGACTTTTAGCTTAGATGAAGTAGGGATTGCAGAACAAAAGTTGAAATGAATCTGGTTTTTATTGCTCTTTTGTGTCAGTTTAATGGATTTGTGCATCTTCAGGTTCTTTCGATGTTCTCAAACCTGATCTTCTGCAGAGTGCAGTTCTTCATTTTCCCAGTCCCTGTTCTCACCTTCTATGACTTGGGCAGTGAGGCTGGAGCATTTGCTGGTGAAGACTGAGGCAAAAAAAAATTGAGTACCTCAGCTTATGTACTACATAACCAGGTCTTCCAAATCCCTCCTGAAAGGAGCCATGTTCCCTAATCTTTTACTGCTAATGTACCTAAAGAAGATTTTTGTTACTCTTGATGTTCTTGACCACATTTACTTCTGTCAATGCTTTAGCCTTCCTAACCATCTCCCTGCTTTTATGTTCTGGAACTTGGACAGTGTGACTGGAGTATTTGCCGCTGAAGAGAACAGGCTGGGCATCAGACAGTGGGTGCTGAGCCACTGTCCTGTGTATCATTTGTTTCTCTTTTTTCCTCTCTCTCTGTTTCATTATACTAATAATAACAACAACAGCAATAATTTCATCTCCCTGGCTGTTTGGACAGTTTCTCTGTATTACTCCCAAGCTACCTTTCCCTCTTTCTGTGCTCTGTAAGCTACCTGTTTGTGTTTTAAATTTGTCCAGGGGCTCCTTGTTCATCCATACAGGTCTCCTGACTCTTCTCTTATTTCCTCTTTGTTGGGATGCATTAGTCTTGAGCCTTGAGGAAACAATCCTTGAATGTCATCCAGCCCTCTATGCTCAGGGCTCTGTCCCATGGTATTCTACCAGAGAGATCCTCCAAGAGGCCAAATTCCCTTCTCTTGAAGTCCAGTGTAGTTATCTTGCTTTCCACTCTCCTTGTTGCCCCAAGGATCTCAGTCTCCACTGTTTCATGGTCACTGCAGCCTGCCTTTGGGCTCCACATTCCCCATCAGCTCCTTGTTGCTGAGATTATTCAGCCTAGCACCTTTCCTCTTTGGCTCCTTTATCAGTTGGAGAGGGCAGTTGTCATCAGTGAACCTCCTGGAATACATGTGCTCCACTGTCCTTAGCCTCCAACAGGCTGTCACAACCAGAAGTGAGTGTGAGGTTTCTTGTAAATTCTTGTCTGTCTCAACAAGGTCTACATGTCTATACAGTAGCCTTAATTCCAGAAATTAACCTACTATTTAGCTGTAAAAAGTTGGCTAACAAGCTCTCCAACTTCTACAAAAAACTTTCAGACTAGCTCCCAAATCTCACAGTTAACTTCATGTGTTGAGTAAGTGGTAGAATATGATTGCTGGGGTAAAACAGGAGAGAAAAAGGTGGAAAAGAGAAAGAAAAATGTCAGTCTTTAGATCCTGCATTGGTCCTGCTGCTGTGGATAGTCTGGATCTGGGGTCGACAGGGAGAATGCGGGAGACCAATCCCCTTCCTTTTATCGTTTACGTGGTATATGCCTCTCATGTAAAATAGATTTTTTGGTGCCATTCATGCTGTATTGTTCACATGTGTGTAGTCAATTATTTAGAGCCCTCCAGGAAGTGAGGGAATTAATGGGCTGTGGTGTCCTGGAACCTCTTTTAGTGAGTGTCTGGAACTTGACCCTTGACACAGGTGCACTAAGCATGAGTCTTGAGGCAGACTTACAAGCTTAACAACTTGGCAAGGAAAAGGAAGTTGGCTCATAATGGGACTGACTGCTCCACCTCTGCAGAACCCTCTCAAGCCAATCAGCACTTCCCTGTTGCAGTGGTTGGAATCGCCTATGAGGACCAGGGCTTGTGAATGTGAGGCTTTTCTTCTCTGCTTGTGGAGGGCTTCATTGGTCTTTCTGGTAAGGTGGTCCATAGCAGGCCCCTACTATAAAGTTACCTGTGCTTGCCCTCCCTTTAGTCCTCACCAAAAGCTCTAAGTTAGCTCCTTGTCCATTCCAGGTGGAGCTCCATGCACTCCAGGTGGTCACTGACAGAGAGGTTGACACCTCTTCCTCATCTCCCCTGCCTGTCCTTCCTGAAGAGACTGTATCCTTCCATTCCAACACTCCAGTCATTGGAGTTGTCACCATGTTTCATGATGCCAGGAAGATCATAGATGTGCAGGCATGCATATGTCTCTACTTTATTCCCTATGCTGGATGTGTTAGGATAGATGCATCTAAGTTGGGTCCCCCAGAAAATTATCTTCTCTCTGGAGTGGCTAGAATCCATTTGTGCTGCCCTCCAGGTGTTCTCCTGCTGACCTGCAATCCCTCTCCAGATTCTGGGTGTCTCTTGCTGGCTCTGGCACCTAACTGATAGAAATAACTGACTTAACTGACTAGTAATTCACCTAAATAACTCAGCTAACTGACTTGTGGGATGGCAAGTCATCCCACACCTTATCCTATTAAATACGATGATACCTCCCTCTTCCCAATCATAAATTGTTTAAAGCTGTATCAATGACTGCTAACCCTTTACCAAAGACCCTTTTTTCCTTTTGAGAGAGGTGATGCTTCTGATCCTATCTGATACCAGCAAGAATGGTGCTATCTTAGCTATCCCACTGTCCAACAACCCTAAATTTGGGCAGTGACTTGAGCCTCAGAGCCTATGTTAATAGACTCCATCCATTTGTTTCTTTGAATCACTACTTGCACATGGAATAATGGAGGAAAAAATAACCTGTGCCCCTGACTCCCTCACCAATTGTCCCAAGGCTTTGAAGTCTCTTGATGGCCTTTGGACTGACTACATGTTGTGAGTTCATCACCACTCTCAGGGAGGATCAGCAGTGGGTAGTAGTCTGAGCACTGTACTGGGCTGGGAAATTTCCTGGTGACTTCCTTTAACCTTGACCCCAGGGGTGCAGTAAACTTCCTTGAGGGGAATATTCTTACAAGCTTATTGGACGGGAATCATCTACCACTACAACCATTATTTTCTTTCTCATGGAACTGATCTTGTTATGAGCTGTAGGCCTGTCCGGCCTCTCCCCGGAGAGGGACCTTCATCCTCATCATCTGTTGCATGACCTTCCTTACCTGTAACTATTGTACAGAGAGGAACCTAAAGGGAGGGTGAGATGGGCAAGGAGGCATCTTGGCCTGTTGTCCCAAGCAAGTTCTTGCCTCTGTTCATCGTTTCATTCTGATCTTCAGGCACAGGGAGGTTACAGGACCATTGGATAAGGATGGATGGAGAGCAAGTAGTTTCTGTAGAATAGCCTCTACTTTTTTACAGTTATTTTCACAGTGATTAATAGGATGTTCAAAGAAACTAATTCAACTTAAGTGTGCCTTACTGGGACCTTGAATTAAAAAAAAAGTTCAGATTCCCTCATCATTCAGTAGGCAGATCTATTTGAGAATACAGTCCATGGCATCCAAAAAGTCTGTCAGATGGAAGGGCAAGGGTGATGTGGGGAAGAGAACAGTTTTTACCAAGACACTAAATCAATGAATCTAACTAGCACAAATACTTTCTCGAGACATCATTCAGCTCACCATTTTTGAGCATTTCAGTTGCCTGTTACAAACTAAGAGACAATACATTTGAAGTAAAATTTCGTTGCAATTCAACAGGAGATGTAAGTTTGACCTAAGTTCTATACCGAGCCTTTAGCTAAGCTTACTTCTTGAAGTAGAATCAATATTTATCAGTAACTACTGTCAACTAAACTGGCTTTCTAATGGTAAAAACAGCTGCTTTTTAATAGAAGTTTTAGTTTTGTCTGAAAATACAGCAAGCACAACATGCTTTATAGACAGGAGAGACTTCTTATTTCATCTTTAATGATGAAAGAAAACCCACACTTAGTGATTTAAGATTGTGTTACAGTGTTTCTCTGTTCACTCCTCCCCACTTCTCCCCCTTGCCCCTTTATCCATCTCTCTTGAAAATTCTCTCTTCAACGTTGCCATCTACCTCTTCTTTCAGATGAGCACTTAGATAACTTATACTTGAAACCTGCAGCTTGCATTTTGGACCAGAAGGGCATGTGTGCCTGAAGGTTGTCTCTTCATTTTCTTGCTTTCTTCTTTTCCTCTGCTGTGGATCAAGTGACCTGACAGGATTGTCTGCAAAACTGCCTTGCCTGATCATCAAACTCCTGCTAGAAAACGTAACTGATGCCAAAACAAAGAAATCTAAAAGTTATGATGATCTGAACTGACAGATATTATTTAAAAGACTCAGAATGCGTACATTCAGTATTGGGAGTATGACTGCTAAATGGCTGGTTTTATAAAGGATGTGGTCTGCCTAATTTTCTTCTTGGTTCAGTGACTGGATATACTGGGTTGACCCTGGCTGGATGCTAGGCACCCACAAAAGCTACTGTATCCCCCCCCCCCCCCCTCTGCAGCTGAACAAGGGCAAGAAAATATAAAAAATGGTTAACGGATTGAGATAAGAACTGGGAGACATTGCTCATCAAATACTATCATGTGAAAACTGGCTGGAATGAGATATATTAGTTGAATTTATTAGTAACAAAATCAGAGCAGGATAATGGGGAGTAAAGCCAGGCCTTAAAACACCTTCCCCTACTCCTCCCCTCCTTTCTAGCTCTACCTCCTATCCCCATCAGTGCAGGGAGACAGGGAATAGGGGTTATGGTCAGTTCATCGCAAGTTTTTTCTGCCGAGGGAGATTTATTCCCCTTGGCAGAAAAAGAAAAAACTTGCTTAGGGAGAGTTATTTCCCTGCTCCAGCAGGGGTTCCTTCCCATGGGAGACAGTTCTCCAAGAACTTCTCCAACATCTCAGTCCATCTCATGGGCAACAGTTCTCTACAAACTGCTGCCATGTGAGTCGCTGTTCATGGGGCGCAGTCCTTCATGGACAGGCTGCTCTAGTGTGGGTCTCCTGCAGCGTCACATCCTACGGGAAACCTGCTCCAGCATGGGCTCCTCTCTCCACAGGTGTGTAGGTCCCTGCTAGGACCCTGCTCCAGCACAGGTTTCTCACAGGGTGACAGCCTCCTCTCAGACATACACCTACTCCCGCCTGGGGCTCCTCCACCAGCTGAGGGTGGATCTCTCCATCCTCATGGATGTCCATGGGCTGCAGCGCACAGCTGCCTCGCCATGGGCCACACCAGGGGCTGCAGGGGAATCTCCACTCTGGTGCATGAAACACCTCCTCCCACTCTTTCTGCACTGACCTTGGTGACTGCAGAGTTGTTCCTCTCACATGTTCTCATCCTGCTCTTTTCTGGCTGCAGTTTCATCTGTGCAATCATGTTTTTTCCCCCCCTTCTTAAATGTGTTATCACAGGAGTGTTGTCACAATTTCTGATTAGCCCAGCTTTGGCCAGCAATCCCCATCGGTCTGGGAGCCAGCTGGGATTGGTTCTACAGGGCATGGAGGAGGTTTCCAGCAGCTTCTCACAGAAGCCACTCCTGTAGCCACCCCCTTTCCCCAACAGCACAACCTGGCATAATAAAATAAATATTATTGATAAAAAACCCAAAACACTTATCAATTTATAGTTGCGGTAGCAGGCAGCTTTCCCTGTAAGAAAAATTGCACACTTTGGGATAGATTGCATTTCATTTTTATTTCCTCATTTTAGCACTGAAAAATGTTTGTGCTTTATGCTGTACTAGGTACAGTATTTACACAGCATGTTACTAACTGTGCTTAGCATAAATTCATGAGGATGTATAGTGCATGTACCTTGCACAGATAATTTGTGTTTAGAGACAGACAGCAATTTCTAACTCAAGGTGTTTCCTCCTCAGTTTTTGTTGCATTTACTAAATACATTTCAAAATGCACACACAGTGTGTATGTGCTAAATATTAATAGCCTGTCCAACTAACCTGAATATGACATCCCTAGAATAGTGATGTTAGTTTAAAACCTACAACAACAAAACCAAAAAAATATACCTTCACAAAAAAAAAAATCAAATGAAACCAAAATCAAGGAAATTAAATGTTGTAGAATTGTGTTTGGGTAGGGATTGTTCTGCTACCTTTTTCTTCCAATGCACATGTGCATAGCTTGATTAAAATCTGAGAGTAGTTTTAAGTTGTTAGTTTTTCAGCAATTCACATCTTAATCTATTAATTTGTAATGCACAGAATATACCTGAACAGAAATAATGCTTTGTTGTCTTTTCAGAATAGCAGGTAACAGACAACTAATTAGGTTGACAACAACCTTCTTTGCAGTATTTTTTAAGTAAAAGCAAAATGCAAACATAGTAAAAGGGTAAGGGAAGGAAATATTCCCAACATAGAAGCAAATACTAAGAAAAATACCCTGACCTAATTTGAAGAAGCATGAACTGCCTGTAAGTACAAACTTTGTTTAGAAGCCTTCCAAAATCCAAGCTGCTTACATAAAACTTTCTGAAAGAGAATTATTTTTTAACTGTTGAGTAGAATTTTTTGTTAGTGGTGAAAGTGGTGAAGCCACTTTGAGAGTATTCTATAAATGTGGACAAGTAGATCTGAAAATCAGTCTGGCCTTCTTAGAACTCACACTTAAAAATGTCCCTTTAAAAAAAAAATATTTGAAGGTCTGATCGTATCTGCGTGTGAGAGGATGCAGCTGCTGTAGAGTGTCCTGGTCTGGCTTTATTGTGTGTGAAAGAAGTAAGCATAAATTTGTATTTTATAGTGGGTACATTAGTCAACTGTTCGTAAAATGGTGTATTGGAAAAGATTAAGATCTCATTAACAGCAGAGGTGCCACAAGAGGGTGCTGTGTCTGTGATTTTCATAGCTACAAAATTTGTACAGATCTGACAAGTCACTTGGTCTGAGGGGGTCTCTGAAATTTGAGGATATTAAGCATACAGACATCCCGGTCTCTTGCACTTTGCCTTTATGTCTTCACCTGGCACCCTGGCTCTTGGAACAAACAGGCTCTGAGGTGAGAGCACCCTGCAGTAGACTAAAACCGGTAACTGCCTGGTGTTCTCCCTTCTGGTCACAAATAAACAGGAAAACACTATGTCTGGGTAGGTTAATGCCTAAAATCCCAACTTAAAACCTGCTGCTTTCAGTAAGATAATGCCCATTTATTGCACTAATTGAAGCACAGTAGTTTGTCTAGTAAACCACAAAGCCTTTACTATTTCCATACGTAATGAGAAGCCTGACGAATGTTTTTCAACTACTTACCCAGGTAAAAACTGCACTAAAGATGCTTTCAGACATGAGGTGTTCTTCTACAAGAAGATAGATCTTCTACAAGATCTATCATCCCAGGAATAAAGAAAAATAACATGCATGACATACTAAAAATAATCCACGTGTGACAGCACATGGAAATGTCTCCATTTGGACAAGACTCAAATCTTGCTTGCACAAACTATCTGAAGTTTTTATAACATAAAACTGAAATGGCATGTCTTGTATAACACACCATGAAGTACTTTTTGAAAAACACCTTGGTGGTAAAAAAGGACTTTAAAGTTAAATTCTGTGAGCTAGGTGACTGATTGGGTATTTGGAATTTTCTTCTCATCTTCATCAAAAAAGATACATATTAGGAATAGTTTGATCAAAAGCTTTAAAGCAATTACATTGACACTGAGGTGCCCGCCAGTACTGGGAAGTGAAGGAGAAGGTCCAACTGCAAAAAGTAAGTTTTCAAAAATAAGGAAAGGGTATCAACCTTGCATTCAATTCAGTACCTTAAATTACTGGTTGACTCACACTTGACTGCAATGTGCACTTTGTACATGAAAACCCTTAAGTTCAGAGTCAGTATGGTGCCACTTATACTTTATTTCTAAAGCTTTCCATTCAATTAAATTTTGTATACTGCATCGCCCCCACTACCTTTTTTTTCCTCACATTTTTCAGTTTGGTGGCCAGTACATACAGTAAGAGATCAGAAAAATTCTCATGAAGTCATCAGTGCTCTGCTGAGGTCAACAAGAATACAAGCACAGAACGTACAACTTGATGAAAATCCAGGAGTGAGACAGGGGTAGTGTCATGTATGGAACATCATCATGCATGTTCCTGCTTCTTCTAGGAAAATGACGTTATTTTTAACACAGCGAAATTATTTAATCTTGTAATAGCAGATGTGCCCATCTCAGTGTCTGACAGACTAAATATTAAGAAAATAAATTATTCTGTGTGACCCTTGCCAGAATTTTCAAAAGCAACCTCTTACTAAAAGGAGAATTTTAACTTAATGGAGTGAAGGGCTTAAAAAGTTAACAGTTCTTGCATCTTATATATGCAAAAGATGTAAAGACATTTTAAATGTCTTTTACAGAGCCATGATAAAAAAAAAAGAGTAGTAAACCTGCTCTTAAAAATAAGTTGGTTTGATTTAATAATCAATTTGATAATTAAAATTCTGTCTCTTTGCCCTGCTATCCTTCAGGGAATTTCTATATGTGTCATTCAGAAAATTACTCTGGCAAAGCCTCACCCTGAAGAATGGCGGTCTCAATCTGTAGGAGTATTTCTGGAAGAGGTTTTTCTAGACTGACAGTAATGAAATTTTCTGGTGCACTGGGTGGCTCTAGAGTATCAAACTGAGACTGGAGAAGTTCAAGTGGCATAAAATGACCTCTCCGCTTCTCCAAGCGGGCAGCAATTATGTCCTTAGGTCCATCCAAATGAACAAAGAGGATCTTCAGTGCTGGGTTTTCTCCTGGTTGCTCTGGCTGGTTGCTTTCAATTGCAGATGCTCCACCAATTAACACACGCCTGTACATCTTTTTCAGTGCAGAACAGGCCAGAATTGTATCTTGTCTAGATGTGTCTTCTCTATCAAAAATAAAAAAAAAACCAACCCCAAAAACCTTTACATATCTACATGTGGTATAACAAAAATGACTTGTTAATTCCGCTAAACAAGGTGGACATGCCCTAGCTCCTCAAGAAGGCCAGCCATGGGAGTAGTGGCATTGTGACAGTGGTATTTGAGTAATCTTGACAGGATTTTGAAAGCAAATTTCCAGTCCAGGTAAAGATGTGATTTGAAAGTGAGGGCAAGCTAGCCGACCTTCTGATAAAATCTCAGTCTTAGGAACTCTCTCTATAGCCTTTTCTAAGCAACTGGTCTTTTCCTAAATGAAATACAATTCTAGCACAAGGAAGTGTCAAGCTCATGTCCTTAATTGCTGAGAACAGGAAATAAATATCCATAGAAACACCTATCCCTTATCCATAAAATTACTGTACTATTCTCTCTAAGGGTAAGTGGCTGATAAGCAACACATACCACTTAAATACACAATATTTTCAACACCTGCTGTCACTGTCTCAGATTTAACTGTAATTTATGTTTCCTGTAACTCGTTGATAGCATTACATCTATATTCACCCTAAACAAGGGATTGCAGGTCAGTGGGTGCACAGTATTCACTGTATTTATTTTCTGCTGTCAAGGTTTCTTCAAATAAAGCGTTTAATTCTGGGTGTGCCTGCTTCACTAAAAAGCAAATCCAGAATTAGTTGTCTCTGTGAAGAGTGAATAAAATTCCTGCCTAAGAAAATATATTTTGTAATAAAATTAAAATCAGGTATACACCTATTTAAAAATCATTCTATGGTCATTAGATTTTGGTTCAAAGGGAAGTACGAACTTCTAATACCTACCATTATCACCTAGGTAAGTCAGTGACAGCCTCAGCTACTAATAAGTACTAATAATTAAATATTGGCATTAGGCTCGTTTAAAATATAGTTGATTTTATAAAGTTTCCAGAGCTGGGCAGTGGCATTGAGCTATCACATAACATGAAGCAATGGATCCAGCAAATCAATCCAGACAAATTTCTCAGTGAGAAATTAGGTATCTCAGCTCCAGTGAGGTATGATCACCTAATGTGCACAAGCAAGTGTAAAGCCTGGCTAAACAGGCTTTACACAACCTCCCAACCTTTTCCTTTTTTGGGACACACTTCAGTCCCTTCATCATGGCTGGATGCTCTCCAGTATGTCCATGCCTCTCTCATAATGAGGAACCCAGAACTGACACAGCAGTTCAGGTGTGGCCTCACCAGTGCAAAAGGAGAGGGAATGGATCACCTCCTTTGACCTGCTGGCAACACTTGGTCTAATATAGCCCAGAATTCAGGATTTGGCTGGCCTTCCTTGCCAGAAGAGCACATTGCTGGCATATGTCCAGCTGGGGCTGTCCACCACAGCTCCCTCAGGCCCTTTTCTGCTGCTTTCCAGCTGAGTGTCCCTCACTGTCCATACCAGTACTTGCATTTTTAAAAGGTTCCTACCAATCAATTTCTACAGCCTTTCAAGGTCCCTCTGCATCAGTTACTCCTCGCATTTTGGTGTTATCTGCAAATTAGCAGAGCAACACTCAAGCAAACAAACAGTGTCAAAAAAACCTGACACTGTATCTTATTCAAAATAACAGTATTTTATCCTACTGTTGTCATTGGTGTATTTTGAGGTTATGTTCTTTGTAAGTAGCTAATGTCAGGCTTATTAATAAACTGGATCCTTGCAATTATTTTTACACAGATAGTAGAAAACAACCATCATTTGCAACAATTTCCCATTTTAATTCTCAGAGATTAGCTCACCATCAGCAATTACTACGACAGTTTAGATTAGTAAAAACAGAATGACTTTACAATCTGCAGAATTTCTTTACACTACCACTTACATTTCTGCTTTGCAATGCAGTGGGGAAAAACACTTCTGGTACTTCTGTATTTAGCAAAAACATTTAAACACTAGATATTCTCTTACCTCCTTAGTATATCATGCAGTGCACAAAGCCAAGGAATCCTGTCCTAGAAAGCAAGCAAGTTAGTTAAAAATTCTTCAGAAATTACTTTGAAACAATTGCTTCTAGCATCTCAGATACTTGACAAGAGGTAAATATTAGCATTAAACTGTACAGCAAGTTCAGTTTTGAATCTCTTTGTTCCTATATAGATTTGCTCCCACTGCCTGAAGGCTAATAAGAAGTGCTAGGCACATTATGAATAGGACACTTCTGGTGCAATAGTAATTTTTATTTTTCAAGTATATGATGGAAGTAATACGTATTCAAATGCAGCATGCACCATGTAAATATCTGAAGGACAATCAACTTACTTGCTTCTATTACACTATTCAAATGTACAGCTAGAGTTGTTATTTCTTTTCACTGATATAGTGTCATACACACACCCCATCCCCATTTTGGATCCAAGTTGAAGCTTTCAGAAACAGATCTAAATTTAGTTATCTGCAATAATTATATTTATGTCAGTAGCACTCACAAATAAATGTAACCACAATCACAATTCCTCAAAACTTTTGCCCATTACTTAAGCAAACATGAGTGATCAGTCAGATGCTTACTTAATTTGAAATTTTAAGCTGCTGCAAACTCAATCATGCCTAATGAGCACAAAACAACTGCTCCCATTTAATGTTTCAATGCTGTTAGTGCTGGGTAAGCACAACAAATGGTAACATGAACAAATAAATGCAACAATTTTTTGTTACTATCATTACACAGTAACTTCCCCTAGGCATTCAAGAACGCCCTCACAATTTTGCACCTCTCATTTTTCAGAAGAGATGCTTCTTGCTGAGCACCACACACCAGTGCTTTGGTCATTCAAGTGTATAATGCTGCTACAGATGATATCATCAGTTTTATCAGTATCTGAATGAAGGGTATCAACAGCATGGATCCAGACTCTGCTCTGGCTTCAACCACCAGTGAAAGATCTAAGTTTTTAACCAGAATCTAGAAATTTTTTTTCAGTTTAAATTGGCTAAGGACATCTCCCAGAAGATTTGAGGGACTAAAAAAAAAAAAAAGTGGAAGCCTTGCCAAAAAAAAAAAAAAGGTAGGAGGTGTGCAAAATTTTTCTATTACAGATAGATTCTTGAAGTCTTTTTCAAAATATCCTATTACTGCATCTTGCCCCGTTTCTAAGCTCCGTATGCTTTTAGATTGATTTCATATGTTCACCAGGATTGTTTAGTTTATATTCTTTGTTTAAAAGGCTTTATCTACAGTCATAAGTGTGTATTTCTCTAGAAGTAGTGGACATTAACTTTTTTAATTCTTCCTGATTCTGTACAGGAAAAGTGGCTTTAATTGTAAAACCACTGTCCTAATTGATGGCAAATGGAAAAATCCTTTTTCAAGCTGTACCATTATGCTATTAGTATTTCAAGCATTGCCAGCCCATCAAGGGATGGGATTGTTCTGCTCTGCTTTGCACTGGGGCAGCCTCACCTTGAGTCCTGTGTGCAGTTTTGGGCACCACAATATAAGAAGAATAGAAATATATTAGAGAGCACCCAAAGGAGGACCTTGAGGATGCTGAGGGGCCTTGAGGGGAAGGTATATGAGAAATGGCTGAGGTCACTTGATCTGTTCTGCCTGAAGAGGAGACTGAGGACAGACCTCACTGCAGTTATAGCTTCCTTGTGAGAGGAAGAGGAGGGGTGGGCACTGATCTCTCCTCTGTGGTGACCAGTGACAGGACCTGAGGGAATGGCCTGAAGCTGTGTCAGGGGAGGTTTACATTAGATATTAGAATAAGGCCCCACCCCTGAGGGTGGTTGGGCACTGGAACACACTCCCCAGGGAAATGGCCACAGCACCAGCCTGACAGAGTTCCAAAGCATTTGGTTAGTGCTATCAGGCACATGCTGCAATTCAGAATTGTGGAATCATTAGGCTTGGAAAAGACCTTTAGGATCATCAAGTCCAACCTTTGACTGAATACCACCATGCTAATTAAATCATAGCTCATAACCAAATGTCTACTCGTTTTTTAAAAACACTTCTAGGGATGGTGACTCCACCATTTTTCTGAGCAGCCAATTCCAATGCTTAGCCACTCTTGCAGTGATGACATTTTTCCTAATACTCAACTTGAACCTCCCCTAGCACAACCTCCCAATTTAACCACGAGTGGTGATAAATCATCAAAAGTGATCTGAGAGAAGGGTAACAAATTTTTGGAGTTGTTTTAAGCAGGGCCACACAATGGATTCTATGGTTCTTGTGGGTCTCTTCCAACTCAGAATATTATATGATTCAAATCCAAAACTGCAACTCTGTGTGTGGACTGTAGAGGGGGAAATTTCTCACAAATCCCGAAGCAGCAGCATACATACCACTTTTGAACTGACAAGCATTTAATGAACTACTTTTTAATGCAGAATCTTTTTTGATAAAAGAAGCCTCCCTCACCTTAGCAAATGCTGACCTGTGTTTACAGTTAGACTAATCTACGTAGTACACCACAATCTACTTCAACAAGATGTGCATGAAGTTACAGAGATAAATGTGTGGACAAGTTTTTTCAGAGCTTATTCAAGGTACCTCATCGTTTAGTGGTATCCCTTTTTCCATTTTCTTCTTATTCTCTAGAGGATGATAATCGTCTGCATCGTAGAATTTCCATCCTAACTAAGAAAAAAAATAAATTAATTATAGATCGTTCAGCTAGGTCAGGTGAGGCAACAAGGACTTCAGAATTTACAAAGACGACACCGATGAAATTACAGGCTTCTTGCACCACAGTATGAGTCACCGGTTATAGTATGATGATTAGCAAAAAAAAAAAAAAAAAAACCAAAAAAAAAAAACCAACAAAAAACCACTAAGGCAGCTTGGTAGCAGCAACAGCTGTTGCATCACGGCCCTGAGCCGAAGTCCGTGCAGGCACCACTGCCCCAGCCGAACCCGGCTGGGGAGGCCAGCAGCCCGGGGGAAGGCCGGCGGCCCAGCGCGGGGAGGTGCCTGCCCGCCCCAGCACGCCTCCCAGGTGGCGGCTCCACAGGCCCCTACCTTCTCAGCCAGCCGCGACCCAACCGTGGTCCTGCGGGGAAGAACAAAGGGCCGATTAACACCCGCACCGGAGCCGCACCGCGGGGCCCCGGCAGCGCCGAGTCCCCGGCTGCGCCGCAGCGCCGCCGCTGCTCCGCCCCCCGCCCGGTACCTACTTCCCTGAGCCGCTGACGCCCATCACCACCACCAGCACCATGGCGGCCCGCCGCGCTCTGCCGCTGCCCCTCTGCCCTGCTGCGCCGCCGCCCCGGCCCGCCCTCGCTTCTGCCGCGGGAAGCGGGTGCGGCCCGCCCGGGGCGGCCCCACAGCGGCCCCAGCGCCCCGCCTGCCCCGGCCGCCGCCCCGCGCCGCTGTCCGGGACCGTCCGCTCCCCTTCTCCGGGAACCAGAGACACCCGTGTCGTGTCTCCCGCTCTCTTTCCCCGCAATGGCTCCTTGTGCTGGAGTTTACCTGATCGTCTCCCGAGCCCTCTTTGTCTGAGGCTTTTCAGTCTGGTCGGGCGTTTCTCTTTCAGCTGTTCCTAGCACGGTACTCACTGTTTGCAGCCTCAGCAACACAGGCGAGTTTAATAGAAAAACAGTAATTTCTGCAGTGCATTTATTATTAAGTGCACATTTGTGCCCATTGAATTCTGTATTACCCTTTGATGATAAAGGTCTGCCTTTGGAATTTATTTAAGGCATCAGCTATGCAGTGACTAATGCCATTTTAGTATTTGTTAAAGCCTTGATCCAGTCATATTTTTAAATCACTGAATTACCTGGTGGGTAAGGCTGGGCAGGACCACTGGTAGGGTCATCTATTTCAACACTCCAGCTCAGGCAGGACCCCGTAGAGCACATTAGGATTCTGTCTAGGCGGCTTTTGATTATCTCCAGTGAGGCAGACTCCACAACCTCTCTGGGCAACATGTTCCAGTGCTTGGTCACCTGCACAGTAACAAAGTGCTTCCTGATGTTTGAGTGGAACTTCCTGTGTTTCAGTCTGTGCCCAGTGCCTCTTGTCCTATTGCTCAGCACCACCCAGCAGAGTCTGGATCCATCCTGTTGATACACTCCCTTCAGATACTGATAAACATTGATGAGATCCCTCCCCTCTCAGCTGTCTTTTTTCGAGGCTGAACAGGACTAGGTACCTCAGCCTTTCCACGTAAGAATGATCTAGTCCCTCAATCATCTTTGTAGCCCTTTGCTGGATCTGCTTCAGGAGCTCCATGACTCTCTTGCTCTGTAAAGCCTAGAACCAGACATGGCACTCCAGATGAGGCCTCACCAGAGAAGAAGGGCAAGACTGTGGAAAATTGTGAAAATTCTCTTATATAGCAAGTATTCTTGCTATTACTGTGTATATAAATATGACCTAGCAACATTTTCAAAGCTCTGCAAGGATCAAATGCAGTGATGCTGCCGACCAGCGTGGAAGTTTACCTGTGCAGTGAAGAAGCATCTGCTGCGCCTGTAAGAGCTACTCCACCCAGTGACGGTGGCTTCAGGAGAGCACAATGTGTGCCCCCTTCATATTTTTTACATCAATCAAACCTTGGAATAAATTCTCAGAACATACATTAAGTCTCCCAGTCTGCATGAAATTTTAGTCCTTTGCATGGCACTCCAAATAACATTATGAATGATACATGTATCTCTTTTTTTTAATTGTTGCCTGTCTCTGACCATTTAATTGAGATCTGGAATTTCATATACGTATTTCACATACCTATTAAGAAATTCTTAATGAAGACCAGAACCTTCAACATTATTAAGCTATTACTGAATCAGGCCAGTTCTCAGATTACTAACAGACTACAACGATTTCTTTAAGGCGCCATGAGACTGGATACATATTTTTCTGTAATAGGTTATGATTGTGCTAAAGTAATTGAATTTGGTTACATCTTTTCCATTTGTTGGCTTATCAATTATGAGACAGGAAAAATGCTTAATTTGGATGAGAGTTCCTGGGAGATCCAAATGAACAAGCTCAAAAATACCAGCAGTCACTTTGAACCTGGAAGCATCACAATTACTACTTGCATTCCCAAAATTAGAACTTTTAATTGCTCTGTCACAATAATTCCTCAGATTTTGCTAACATGAAGAGCAACTGACTAGCCTGCCTACAGTGCACGCTCAATGTCTTTTGTTGTAACCAGCGTTAACAAGCTTCACTCTTTGATACCTTTTCATCCTTAATATCCTTGCCTTTTGCTAAAAGAGCCATGTTAGACTGGTGTGATGTTATCTAATAGTTATTTTATATCCTTTTTGTGCAGAAAGTTGTGCCAGGGGTTCTCTTTTACTAAATCCCAGGAAAACATAACATGAACATGCACTGGCAGAGTTTGCATGCGCTGTACAGACAGCAGTGTGCTCTGCAGATGCTGCTGCAGGGAGGAGAACAAGATCTGGAGAAAGCTGATTGAATTGTGCAAACACTAGAGCCTATAGGCAATGTGAAGCAGGCAATTACATTCAGACTTTCTGCTTGTGTGGCTGATCTGACTTGTGCAGATATAATTCATGTTTCTAGTCAACTGGAGAGAAAACTGGATAAGACTCAGCCAAATGGTTGACTTAACAGCATCAGTTAAGCATTTAAGATATGCTTAAGATGTAGATCCAATAAAATATGTGGATTGTTTTCATGTGAGGGAGGATTTTTCTTTCACTCTGTTGTAGTCATAAAACTATTAAATATTTTTACACTTACTACTTCTTTAATAACATGGAAGAGTTTCATATTAGTCTTCATCATTTAGTGATATATATACATCCTAGGAAATTTGACCCGATGCTTATTCTTTAAAGATCTTTTCCTGGAGGCGGCATGGGTGCCTTCTCCTTATAATTTAAATTTATTTTTATTTCTAATGTTGTGAGAATGTAGAACTGATTCTGAATCTCTGATGTAGCTGTATAAAAAATCTTGCATGGTGTCATGAGTTCCAGAGTACATTCACTTAGCTGAAATATGGAATGTAGAGGTTGTCTGATGTTTCATTTATTTTATTTAGTAATAGGTGAAATTACAATATAATGGTGAAGGATAAATATTCTAGAATTAAAAGCCAAAAAACCTCAAGAATACCTTCCAGAAAACCCATCAAGTACTTCTCAGCCCCAAAAGAATTTTCCAGATACTGTACTTTTAAATACTTCTTTAAATGGCAAGTGGTATATTTTATGGCTATTGGGAGTATTTTCAGTGTCTTTCCGAGCCTTTCTGGTTTGACTAATTGCCTAATATTGAATTTATGGAATTCAGTAAAACTTCATCTTCTCCTTAAATTAGCTGCTTAATTTTAGAGAAGGGTAACATGAAATATGAATGAGAGAATTAATTTTTCTGGAGTTATTTCTGTTTGCCTTCACTATATCTATCTCCTTCCTGTGGATACTCGGAAATGTCTGTTTTATTCAGAATATTACCAAATTCAAGGTAGAAAAAAACATTCCCATGGTAATTCCTAATGGAAACTTATCGCAGTATAAAAGGTGAACTACTGTAAAAGTGCACAGGCCTCTTAAAGCTTTCCAGGGGCATCCATTGTCATGGGCATCTGCTTCTTATAAAAGTGAGGGCTCAGACACATTAGTAATCTGAGCTTCCTGAATCTTAAGGGGAGTAAGACTGTTCTTCAAGCAGCTAAGGCCCAAATTTATGGAGTCATTTAGGGGTTCAAATCAAATCCTGAATACGCATTGATAGCAAATCCAAGGCAGAGGGTGTTAATACAATATGTTCACTCTGAGGAGAGTAGCTGAAAGAAACTATACTGTGGTGTTCTGTTGGTCACAGTTAGTCCTCATTGTGAAGTAAGTAATCATCAAATTACAGGTTTGTTGATTGGAACATTACCAACAATTTTCAGAATTTGTCCTATGCTATGCAAAGTCGGTCAATATATTGTCTGAAGTTCTTTCTCAGGAGAATTTAGTGCATAATGGCTTTCTGCACCCACCAGAATTTGTCAGTACTGAGAAAAAAAATCATCAATTTGGTAAATGAGCCATAGTTTCTGACATTTGGGGTGAGTAAATCAAACTAAAGCTGTTAAATGTTTTTAAAATCACATTAAGTATTTTTATATATTAACTCATCCCTTTTTTAATACTGAAACTCAGAGCTGATTTTCACAAAATAAAAAAAGAACACTGTAAATAACTCTTCTTATTTTTCCAGTTTGCAGTACAAACACAAACAAACAAATAAATAGGTAAGAAGGAATGGGAGCAGCTTTTCTTTGTTGCTTGTGACACAAGTTTGTTCTCAGTTTGGTTCCAAATCTGTAGGAATGACAAAATCTTCTGAGCCTAGTTATAGGTAAAAGAGGAATGCAGTTCTTCATACCATACTACAATCTGATCATGATGTAGCTTACTAATTTCTGTACAGAAAAGCCTATGAACACATTTATCTAAAGTTTAAATACATATAGCTCTAAACAGAGAAGCTATTGTTAAATGATTTAAATTTTCCTAACAACAGCAAAGGAAATACTATGATTTGCTTGTAACAGCTAGCTGATTGACTGTCAATCAAATTGATGTAGATAAGAAACGGAAAATTACTTGGGTTTTTTACATGGCTGTTCCTTAGATTTTGAAAACTTTTTCATTTTATGGACTTGATTTGATTGGTGTAATCATATTTAATTCTTTCAATAGCAACTCAGGTTTGCATGTACATTCTACCAATTTTGTATAATAAATCCCAGTGTTTTACCACATAAAAATTTCTTCATGTGATGTGATCAAAATCAATGGATTAGCATAAATACTCCAGAGAAGTGCTCAAAAAAGCAAAATTGTTTGAAACACTTAGTTTATAAAATAACATTTTATTTATCTGCCATGTGGAGAGTATAAAACATGTGAACGTTACAATAGTTTCAGTCCAGAGTAGCAACTAGAGCTGCAGTAGTGTGACCCAAAAGTGACGGGGAAAGGCAGGGTGTTCTGTGTGACACTCAGAGCACAGCCCAGGAAAATACATGGATTTTTCTGCCCGGGTGTGGAAGGCTGATAGCAGAGGTAGTGCACAGCTACTGCTTGCAAGCCACAGTCACATACAGTCAGGAATAATTTCAGTGTTACTGTAGGAAAAAACTGGAAATAAAGAAGACCACAGAGTTACAGAAAGACTGTTTTCTTTAGCCTCCTCAAAAAGAAATCAGGCAGAGCTGAAAAGAGCGTCTGGGAGAGTTTTACTGTTTCTATTCC